CTCAACTGTCAAGAGGTGTAATGGTCAGTTTCACACTTAGGTCACATGACAATAGAGCACACTCAATCTGCTGACAGTGAGAGGATTTTCCAGAAAAATAAAACTGGGCACCTTATAGAGAAAGTACTTTATAAAAAGGTATAGATTATATTTATGCCCACAACACAAAATGTAACTGTTTTTGTTAACATGCAGCAGTTTAAACGCCTTATATCATTTTTTATTCCAGATGCGAAGCACGTCGAATTAAACTGGCAATCAATTATATAATCTAAAGATGTTTAGAGAAAGTGTGCTTTTTATGTAAAAAAGTAAAGTCTTGTTTTAAAAAAAAAAAAAAGAGAATTAAAGCCTCAGGTTTTGTTTAAAAGATGTCTCTTACGTAAAGACAAACCGTAAACAGTTATCTCAATTGACTTCTGTGTTAAAGTTTAATCAACTATATTGCTGTGCTGTTATCCTGTGCAATAAAGGATTGATACTGGCCTATCAGATGTGCTTAATTTCTCAAAATGAACATATTCTGACTTTACCGTTGTCCATATTTTTGTCATCGCTAATACAGAAGGGGGTCAAAACTATGAGGAGCAGACACAAGGAGTCCATGTTCTGCCTACAGTGAATCACAGGACAAAATCCTGCACTACAGGAGAGCTGGATGAAGGCGGTTAAACCAGAAGCATATTTACCTTTGAATATATTAACCATCATGACATGGCTTCATCCATCTGATGAAGTCCATTATTTGAAGACGTGTATGCCCCTCATCTCTAACGTCAAATGTCTCTGACTTTGAGGATAAGATAATCTCAGGTAAAGTAATTTTGTTCTGTCGCAGCTCACACAATCTTCCTGATAGATGAGGCTTTCCATGTTCCTCCATTCAATTATCTATTAATGAGCCTCCCAGTGATTGTCTTTTGGCCGGCAGTAGGGCTTTATGGCCTCTGTGTATTGCGGGGGAAAGAAATAGTGCTGCACTGTTCCCGCTGATACATCTCAACACACTGAAACACATAAACCTGGAGTTATAAGCAAAGAAGCAATGGCAAAAAGGTAATTGTACTGTTCATGTGATTGCTGCACTTCAAACAAACTTGTGACAAACTGTAAAGCATTAACCCATCACTGTACCCTGTATGCAAGGGCTGGTCTGCCTTCACTAACTGTACGGAGGCTCAGTCACTGGTACATTTTTATATATAAAGCCATGTTAGGGAAACTTCCATCCTACATCTGCTCCCTGATCTCACGGCGAATTGTAAGTGGCTACTGCCTGAGATCGCATGCTGTGGTTTTATTAAATGTGCCAACTGCTAGGACTGTCTTAGGGAAAATAGCATTTAGATGCGCAGCTCCACTGTCCTGGAATAGTCTGCAATTAAAATGGAAACTGAGCAATCTGTTGCCACTAAATGTTTTTAAAGCTCGGTTGGATGCTACTGAATCGGAAGCTGTTGGTACCTGTGCATGTGGATAGTATGTCATTTGTAATCCCTGTAATGCTACTGTATGATGTCCTTTTGTTGTTCTGTTTATGTTTTTAATGTTTCATGTGGAACCTACTTGAGCAGGTCTCCCTTGAAAAAGAGGTCAATGATCTCAATGGGATACAACCTGAATAAATAAAGGTTTGAAATGAAATGAAATGACTTCCAAATGTATGCCTAGGGTGCCGCCTATACGTAAAACGCACATTATTAAACTACTTACAAGATTAAACTACTTACAAGATTAATACACTTGTTGAAGTTAAATGCTTAAATAATGAAACATACTGAATGGAGAATATCCTCTGGCTCTTTACAGGCTATACTTCAGTACATGGAGGTGCCAAGCTTTTACCTTTTGGATATAACGCTTTCATTTTTTATCTAAAATGAGGTCGCTTTTTGGTAAGAAGAACATGAGTCATGCAATATCTGGCATTTTATATTTTTGGACATATTAACTCCAAACCACTTGGGGTTTGTTTGGCAGTACAACCCTTCGGGAAACAAATCTGGCTTAACAATGATTTTTTATTCATTGCACTGATTATAATAAATGAGAAGGCGTATATTGTGATCATGTGTCTTCTGAAATGTTTCCTGCTTTATGATGGCTTCTATACCTGTCCAGGTCTCACTTCCCTTTTAAGGTTGAGGGTGGTTTGAACTGTTACAGAACTCACTGACTAAAGCACAACACTGCCATCTAGTGACAAAGTACGGTGGTACAACCACTGAATCAGTTCAATATGTCATCTGTCATGTGCAGATGTGCATGAGCAGCTGGCTGAGCTGTTTGGCAGTACATTGAACTTCCAAAGTTACTTCCAAAATTGTATTTATCAAATAAAATAAAAAATCATAATTACCAGTACCAAATTATTTTTCAGATCGTAGAGTTTGACGTATACAGGCTTGGGGAGTAACGGATTACACTTAACAGGCTTATGTAATCAGGATACAAAAAAAAGGCACTACTTATTTGTATAAAATTATATATTGAGGTAATCCAGAAGAAACCAAAAGTAATCATGGTTACAATACTTTTGTATTTTGATAAAAATATAAGGTTACTGACTACATTTGTTTAACAGATATATAGTAATTGTAACTGAATACATTTTTCAAAAATCCCTCCCAACCCTGATTATAAATTTTAAAAATGCAACTGGATGATGTTGTACTAATTTGAATCTTTACAATAAATGCATTTGGATCATGCCTTCAGAAAACATGAAATGGCCTTAAACAAATTAATATATCTTCACAATTCCATTAATAACAGTGACTGACTCCAATCCCAAACACTACTCCAGTTCTCTATGGATCCACTTGTTGATGAGTATAAACTGAGTTTTGCCGCCCTCAGCTGGCGGACTGTACACTCTTAGAAATGAAATATGGATGTTGTTTGCATTAATTGCTTTTTTTATATTGAAACTACTAAGTAAATGCACTTTTTACAATTAAATCAAGAGACTTTAATTGCATTTATGTAAAAGTTCAAAGTTTTGGGATTACATTACCATGTTGTGTTGTATTTAAATGGTAAAGTTATTTAAAACGCACTGATTGTCCCAAAGTGCTTGCCGTACTTTCTCAGCACATGCGCTGTAAGACCGGGGACATTTGTCATTTGAATCCTGTGACTGTGAGATGACAGAACCGCATTTTTTCCCTTTCCTGTGCCATCCTGCGATGTTATGGTAAGTTTCTTAAATATTAACATATATTAAACACAAACGGTCCCTGAAATACAAAAGTTGATGTGTATTTTTGATTTCCCTGCTACCAACTGTATACTTTGATGATAGATTTGAAAAGCGGTGCAGCCTAGCTAACAGCTAGCTAACAGCTAGCTTAACGGTCACTTTTTAATTATGTTCCCTTGCACTTAAAAGTGTTAGAATATGTCACAAAAGAGGTGACATTTCAAGCTTTGTCTGTATAAGTCAATCGTTATGTATTTAATGATTTTAGCTTGATGTGGTTATAATAGTAATGTTAGCTCTTACCAAAAGTAAGTGGACACGTTTTTTTCCCTCCTTTTTTAAATTTTTTTTTTTTTAAATGTGCTTGATTTAAAGATTTGAGAGCCTGGTTGCAAACATCTCCAGTGCCAAAAAGGTCATAGTCGGTTAAGGTCTTCTAAGTCTATTAAAAATAACTTCATCAAGTGTAACGCCCTGAGGGAGGTTTTTTTGTTCAATTGTAAAGCTTATTTGGAAGAAATAAAAATCCCATCTGTGCACTGTACTGTTGCGTCAGGCGGAGCCGTGCCTGGTCGTTACGTTAATTATGTCGGCCAGGAATATCAAAGTGTGAATTATTTAAAGCATGTACAGGAACACACTCAACAAGCACATCTTCCATTAAGACAGCTCTTAAATAGACACGTAATTCACCCGAAAACGTGTTTCTTTATAATAATCAGAGAGAGAGAGCAAGATTAAATAGTGGCAGGTACTTCAGCCGCAGATGCCACTATTTGCTGAGACAACTGCGGCTGCTGAAGGGGTGTTACTCTGGGTGCCGAGCCAAGCGAATGTGTGTGGCAGTTGCCACTTACCTGCCGTGGCAACTGCTTGTGTTTAAACAGTTATTTATCGTGGAAAAGTATTTCCATGTTCTGCTACTCTGTAATTCTACTCAATTACATTTCAGTGGGAAATATTGTACTTTTACAACACTACATTTATTTGACACTTGTAGTTACCTTTTTAGATAATGTTTATATTCATATACATGTACTACTAATTTACTCGGTTCTTTCCAAAATATGCTCTATATCAGTGGTTCTCAACTGGTCAGGCCTCGGGACCCACTTTTTACTTGGTCAATACATCGCGACCCAACATTTTGAAGCACTCAAATCTATTCAACAAAAAATCGTGCTGTAATATATACGCTTTTGAGCATACAATATTAATAAAAGTGAAGTACAGTGCATATATCCCTTCACAGAACTAAAGTATGCTTTTAAAAAAGGTTTAATGAGATGATGGAATCAAAGCTGAACTATATAAAAAGGCACACATGCTGAAACCCAACCCAGCAGGGGGGTCTGGGGGGATTCTCCCCCAGGAGATTTTTAGAAATACTAACATAAACTACGCATTCTGGTACACTCTGAGAAGAAAATCGGGCCTTCAAAATAAAAGTTTGACTTTTCCCCCAAAAAAAAAAAATTCCAATTTTTTTTTTCAACTTTTTTTTCTTCACTCACACATCCGCGACCCACTCGAAACGGGTCCGCGACCCACTTTTGGGTCGCGACCCACCAGTTGAGAACCACTGCTCTATATTAACAAATCACAACATTAAAAAAATCTTGTATATATGTAGATTTTTTATTATAAGAACATTCATTTTTATTCTATGATGCAACCCTTTTACAAAAGGCTTTCTGCACAAAGTACTTTTTCTTTTGATACTTTATTATATTTGGCTAATAACACTTTGGAACTTTACCTTAAGTATTATTTTGAATTTGGGACTATAGCAAGTAATGGAGTATTTATACTTTTACTTTAGTACAGGATCTGAGTACTTTTTCCACCACTGCTTAAGATCCAGTAATGGGTTGCTATATCCTGCACCTCACACCCTGAATTATGTTAATGGCTGCAATAATAGTTGTTATTTACAATACATTTGGATCATTAACACATTTCTCTTTTTCTCTAGGTTTTGAATGTGGAGATGCAAACAGTGTACTGAGACTCAATCTACAAGGTACCAATTACTGAAGCACTATAAATTAAAACACGGCCATTTTGGTCAGAGACACCCATATCCATGCACATACTATGAATGCCCATGCTCTTTCAAAACATGGAATGCTCTTAAAACACATTTAAGTAGATGTCATGTTGAATCTTTACCTGTATTAAGTGCAGAGCTATTTTAATAGATGCACATGTATAAGAAAAGAACCTCAGCTGAAATTCTTTGTTTGGTTTACACCAGTAGATGTCCTGTCCTTTCTGCTATGACACTTGATGGATATTATTAGCTTTAAACAAAACATTTGAACCTGTATCACAATGTGTTGCAGGTAAACGCAGAATTCACCCGCATCACCACCGTTCCGCTGCTGCCTACCTTCATGTCTCAACTGGATCGCCATTCGTCTCAGTTGATGAAGGTTTTCAAAAAGAAGGGGGGAACAGCAGGACGCAATTTGGGCCTGATCATGGCAGCCATGGACAAGGTATGTAGTTGTAATAAATTGTGTAGTTTGGGCACTGCAACACCATATTCTCTTTATCTCTCTCTCGTTGTCCCTCTCATATAAATATATTTTAACCTCTCTGACCCCCTTCTTTGACTTGCCAAAAATCAGCACACAAGCATAATCAGTATTCTTGTGTGAAGATTTTGAAAATGTGTTTGTCCCTCAGGATCCCACAGTTGAAACACGACGGGACTGTGTCCTTAAAGCGCTCTGCGTCTACTTGAATGAAAGATATATAGATATATATATATATATATATATAGATATATAGATATATAGATATATATATATATATAGATATATAGATATATATATATATATATATATAGATATATATATATATATATATATATATATATATATATATATATATATATATATATATATATATATATATATATATATATATATATATATATATATATATATATATAGATATATAGATATATATATATACACCTGAACATCAGCAGGAGTATATATATATATATATATATATATATATATAGATATATAGATATATATATACACCTGAACATCAGCAGGAGAGGACTCTTTAAAGTAGAGACACTACATACTGATATACACCTGAGCATCAGCAGGAGAGGACTCTTTAAAGTAGAGACACTACATACTGATATACACCTGAACATCAGCAGGAGAGGACTCTTTAAAGTAGAGACACTACATACTGATATACACCTGAACATCAGCAGGAGAGGACTCTTTAAAGTAGAGACACTACATACTGATATTACACCTGAACATCAGCAGGAGAGGACTCTTTAAAGTAGAGACACTACATACTGATATACACCTGAACATCAGCAGGAGAGGACTCTTTAAAGTAGAGACACTACATACTGATATACACCTGAACATCAGCAGGAGAGGACTCTTTAAAGTAGAGACACTACATACTGATATACACCTGAACATCAGCAGGAGAGGACTCTTTAAAGTAGAGACACTCCATACTAATTTGAACCTGAACATTTGCATAATATGTCCTCTTTAAATAAAAAATAATTGAATTTGTTTTTTATTCAAAGTATTTGCTGCTACTTTGGTTATATTGTTCATGTACATTTACAACTACATGTATTTATTTACAATGGATCCAATAAAAGGATTTGCTCATTTGTTTCATATTATAAAATGATGTGTGTCAGGGTTCTCATACTGATAATCATGAATACTATGTTCTAATCCCACTTTAGGATGTTGAACTTGCAACAACCCAAATGGAGCCAATGGTATTGGGACTCTATCTCGTGAAACACGAAGGAGCAGAACCCGGGGAACCACTTGCGGATGTTGGATGATGGACCATCATCGAGGGTGTTGGAGTGCTGCGAGAGCTGAAATACTTGGCAAATGGATGGGCAGTATTGCTTGGACTGATTTACAGCCTCAATCTGAGCTACCCCAAGGACCTGAAACATACATTTGAATTCATTCAAAAAGTATTGATGGGGTTGGATGGCAACAGACTGTCAACCAAGGTGCAGGTTCTGAAAAACAGATTACAAGAGTAATCCCAAGGACAAAATACTGTGACAGAGATAACGTCCAGTTCATTTCCATCTCGGTACATTCTCACACACACACACACACACACACACACACACACACACACACACACACACACACACACACACACACACACACACACACACACACACACACACACACACACACACTCACAATTGTATTTCTGCTTTTGAAAGTTCAAGACATATGTTCATGTGTATAACAGAGGCAAAGATCTACTGTAACACATTATGTGCTTGAGCAATATTATGTGATGCGTTTCATCTAAGTGTTTGGAAAGACATAAAAACACCATACTTCATAGTAAAGTTGCATTTTATAAAATGTTCAGATAATAAGTCATTATTGTAGCTTTTCAGCCCACATGTTAACTTCTTGAGTCACTCGTGTTTCTCATCACTGTCAAGTTCAGCAGCTGTCATGGGTTTTTTACGCAAAGAGCTTTAAAATTCTAATATGTGCACCTACCACAAATGGGCTGTTGGAGTTAAGTGTTTTTTTGTTGTTGAATTGTTGTGGCAATTCAGATGGTTGTTTGCAAAATGCAATGTTATAAGTGTAAAATGAACATTTAAAATAAAGTGAGCGGAATACAAATTACTGAGTTGGAGTCATTTGAATTACTTATATTGATAGAGCAATTTGGATTAAATGATGTTAAGTGCAAATAACACAATCCTACAACATAAATGGAACTAATTTGTGTTAAGTAATTACAACCTAACTGTGTTAGGTAAATCAGTGCAAACTTTAAGTAAATGCAACATAATTGTGTTAAGTAAAAACAACAATTTAAGTAAATTCAACATAACTGTGTTAAGCAAATACAACATAACTGTATGATGTAGCATTTAATTAAGATGCTTTGGTAAGATTTACTTAAATGCAAGAAGTAAATATTAGTTTACTAGTCTGTTTCCTATTTACTTAGCCTTGTTACGTGCAGCCGGTTGACATAACTAGATTAAGTAAATCTAACATATCATTTCTTTGAGTGTAGGTGTACAATAGTGTTTTACTGTTACAGACAACTAAATAAGGTTTGTTTTATGGAACTATTTCTAGTCTTGGATTTTAGAAGTGTGCATTTGGTGTTGTTGCACGTCCTTTGAACTCACTGTGTTTGTATTAATGATTTCCAGCTGTAAATGTTCATTACGCAGGAACAAATACAACTAATTTCAACTTTCAAATACTGACGCTATGATGTCTTTCTCAATCTGGAAATGTCTTAGTCCGTCTCCATAAAGTGATATAAAGCAGAGTAACAATAATCACGTACAGGCGGCAGATGAAAGTGGCCTCTTCTATGTTTCCACACACTGAACTTAAACAGAAAATTACAATATGGTGAGTTTTTGGCCTCCCAGTTGAAAGCAGCTTCAGGCGCTGTGGTGACCTCCCTCACTGCCTCCCTCTGAAACAGCTTCAAATTAGCCCGTTTCTCTCATGTCACACCATCCAAAATTATTAGCACATAACTTTTAAACTAGAGGTGTGCGTTTCAAGAAATCCCTCTCATTTAGGTGTTTGTTCTTTTTGTTCTAAGCAGAAACACATTGGATGTAGGACCAAGTCATAATTCATCACATTTAAAGCATTAATCATATTCTGTATATTGTATGTTGGACACATTCTGATTATATTTCAAATGTAATATATTAAAATGTGGCAAAATAGTGGATATGTTTGCCATGATTTGATATAATTATAGTTAGTGTTAAAAAGGGAGAGCATTGGTATGTAACTCAGATGATGGAAGAGTGATACTGTATCACTCTTCCATCATCTGAGTTACATACCAATTCATGAAAATAGAAAAACACTTATTGTATCACTGATACAATAATGTTTTTCTATTTTCATGAACAGCTTCTTGACTTAATTTAACGAGGAAGGATGACTTTACACATCCTAAGGACATGGGGGTGAACATCCATTTAAATATACCAAAATATATATATATATATATATATATATATCATAATTAAAACATATTTTTTCTTGATCAAAAAGCAGTAGTTTCAAAATTAATTTTCCAAATAAAATAACCGCTCATGGGAAAAAACTAACTGAAATCCACTGAGCATTAGTAGCCTACAACAGAAGGTAGGTGACAAACAAGTGCGTAAACTGCTTTAGGACTGAGAATATAATTAAATGTTAAGTAATTTCCAAAATTACACGTGTCTAAATATTTTGTTTGCCAACTGTGCGATGATTTTCTCTGCCAAGAAACGTGTTTATTTACAAAGTCAAGCAAAGTTTTTCAAAAAAAGAATCTATTACCGTAACGTGTTTTCCCCAACAGTGTAAATCACAAACAGTGTCATTTATAAGTGGTTATTTTCTTTGTCAAGTTTAAAAGTTAATCTGTTTCAGTTTATTTGCTATTTTAACAGGGTTCAGCTCCGCCGTACACTCCATTTTAACATTTTACACGGAGAGCATACTATATCTAAAGTTTGGAAAGGAAACCTAGAAACAGTGATGACCCTATTTAGGTAGGGCTTCTTTGCCTCAAGTAGAAATATGTATGTCTTCTTTAAGCTGTAGCCAAAAATTCAAGTTTGAAACACATTTCAAGTTTGAAACACAAGTTGTTTTAAATTAACGTAAAGCCTCAACATATCGGTTCAACGTATTTAAAGAGTAATCGAAAATGGATGTTATTCCTGAAAAACGAACTGGGCATAAAAAAGGAAAAAAAACGTTAACAGGCTAAAACAAATATGTTTTTTTTAAAGCAAAATAGGCCTACTCTTCCCAAAAACTTTAAATTCGTTTTTTGAAGATTAGAGGTTATAAGTCTACTTTAACGTAGACCTTTCAGCCAATAGCAATAATTACGCGTAGCCTATTTATATATTAACATCATATATCATCTAAATATCCCATTAATTATACATTCGAGTAAACATGTCGGCTCCAAACTTTTTATACTTTGTACATTTTATTTGTAGGCCTTCAAACTGCAAAAGTGTCGCGAGTAAGGAGTTACACAAATAAAAAGATGCTTTTACGGACCGAAACGAAACCCGGAGATTACGGAGCTGCGGGACGAGCGGAGGACTCGCGTGACAAGAGGAGTGAAAACACTGATGTGTCCTGCAGGCAGACATTAAAGTGGACTCTCATCCGCCCTGCCGCTGTGTTCCCGCCCTCCCCTCTGCATGTATGTTTAATCAGATCAGATGGCCCCCAGACTACGAGGGGACTTCATATCGACCCTCATTCTAATAAAAGACAAGAAGTGGACATAAAGCAGATTTCTGTTAATGTCTTCATTGCAAAGAGGGGGGACGGGGAAAACGTATACGTTTCAGAGTACTCAAATGTTTTACTTCAGTTAAAGTAGAGCACAACAGAGTGGAAATACTCTATTACAAGTACACTATTACTAGTAGCATCAAAACGTAAACGTATACCACAATATTTGTTTTATTATAGGATTATAATAATTGATTAAGGTATTTGTGATAGCAGTGAAGGCTTTTATTTTACTTTATATATTAGACTTTATTTAATGATTAAATGGTGTATTATACAAGTACATTTTCAAGATAAGTGAAGCTTTCAAAAAAAGATAGAAATGAAACATACAATATTTCTATACTATAAGTAACATCAAATGTAAATATCCAAGTCAATTAATTTTACATCCTATTCAAAAGATA